TAAACTCTTAACATCAACAGACTGGCTGAAAAAGCCTCTTTCTTTCCCTCCAAACAGTCTAACTCCGCCCCCTTTAATAAACCAATCCTGGCTGCTCCAAGGCTGGCTCAGGCCTAGGCCACTCCCCCTCTCTGAAAGGGAGCTTTCCCTAAACTAAAATGGCTCCTGCTGCCCTCTGCCAGGCACTCCAAAGCTGCAACTAACTGGCCTGTCTCTCCTAGGCCCTGCCACCCAGGCTGGTAAGGTAAGGGATCTTTACACCTGCCATGTATAAGATGAGGGCATATTTTGGGGTCAAGATTACCCCTCTTGATGTGGCAAGGTTTGAAAGTAGGGCTTATACCTCATAACTCCTCCCTTGTCCAAACTGGAGAAAGACAACCTTCCCTTCTTCTTTTTTCGGCCTGAATGACATTCAGCAGCAACATGAGGGAGTAAAAAGAACGAGGAGTTCCTGCCATTTTGGGCACTTTGGGTGGAGTGGAGTGCCCATTTGTAGTAGAGGATTACTAAGGTAGAAGCCCCCGGTGGCGCAATCGGTTAAACCCTTGTGCTGGCAGGACTGCTGACCAAAAGATCAGCGGTTCGAATCTGGGGAATGGGATGAGCTCCTGTCTGTCAGCTCTAGCTTCTAATGCGGGACATGAAAGAAGTCTCCCACAGGGTGGTAACACATCCGGGTGTTCCCTAGGCAACATCTTTGCAGATGGCCAATTCTCTCACACCAGAAGCAACTTGCAATTTCTCAAGTCACTCCTGACTCAAAATAAAAACCTGCATAAGGTTATCTGCAAAAAGACTGCCAAGCATGGCATGGCTTATGCAGTTACCCCTTATTAAAATGCCTGCTGTAGTATCTCTGACTTCATGGCTTTTCTCTATTTGTGCGGCTATGGAATAAGAAGACAGTTGTCTACTCTAAGTGGGGAATAACAGTGGGGTTTAGACTACAAAATACAGCAAGCCACCCCTATTGAGCACTATCTTGGCAAAGAAAGAATTCTATGTTTCCTCTAAAATACTTCATGAATTTCCTAATCGCTTACGTTAGGATCTAGTTATGTTGGCATTATCTTAGCTAATTATTTTAATAGATGAAATGATGCAGTGCCCATCTCTGCAAAATAAAAACCTATGAACATTATCCACTGTGTCATTCAAACGCTAAAAGTGTACATGATGTTAAAATTGAAGGTAGCCTCAAGGTATGGCATCCATATATTTTTAAAAACAATTCTTTTCATCATATTCTTGGCTTCAGTTGCTTAAGTGGCAATTTGCCATGCCTTATCTTCAGAGACTGCTTTGCTTGCCAGAGGGTTAAACAGTTTCAGAAAGCTGTAATAATGAGGTCATGGTTTAAGAATACCTTAATGGCCTGTATGTTTTATCCCATAGATCTTGGGACTGTAAAATATTGGTTTGTTTTTTTTAAAAAATGCATCACAGTCCAGTACAGGCAATCCCCAAGTTACAAACAAGATAGGTTCTGTAGTTTTGTTCTTAAGTTGAATTTGTATGTAAGTTGGAACAGGTTCTTTTTTTAGCTTTGGATAGGATAGGGAAAGGTTAACACCCCTGTGGTGTTTGTTTTACCATCTATGCCCCTGTTGAGAGGATTTCATTTCACTATCTGTCCCTGTGATAATTGGATTTTGAAAAATTTAACTTGTGGAAACTAGGATTGGCGAGAACGTTTCAGTGGAGGTACCTTTTCCCCATGATGACTCTTTCAGGAGTGAATTTCTCTCCCGAGGGGTAGATTTCTCACTTCCTGTTGTCTCACCCCTGTTCTTAACTGTGAGTAATTTATAAGCCAGAAGTTGGTAACTGGTAAATGTAAGTTCTATCACTTATTGTAGTTAAATCTGTGTAGATGTCTAGTAGCCTTAATGTAAGTGATAACATTTATTTGTAGTTAAATATGGATAGGTATCTAGCAAGCTTTCCTATCTAATATTCCTCCTAACTGCTATTGAAAATTATTTTGTAGAATAAATGTTCTCTTGCTGAGCTAAACACTGCTGTGAGAAGAGTACGGTTTGTTCTCTGCAAGAGACAGGAGCTTCTTATGATTTTTAAATCTTTGTTGTATGCATACAAGCCAAATTTCTCAAAGAGAGCCTGGATAACAACTATTATCAAAGAGGCTGCAGTGGTGCAATGGGTTAAACCCTTGTGCTACTGAACTGCTGACCTGAAGGTTGGCTGAACTGCCGACCTGAAGGTTGGTGGAGACGGGGTGAGTTTCCATTTGTCAGCCCTAGCTCCTGCCAACCTAGCAGTTTGAAAACATGTAAATGTGAGTAGATAAATAGGTACCGCTTCAGCGGAAAAAGGCAAATAAATGCTCCAAACAATCTTGCCAGCCACACGACCAGGAGGTGACAACGCAGGCTCCTCGGCTTGAAAATGGAGAAAAGCACCTCCCTAGACCCAGAGATGAGCACCGCCTCCAGAAACCAGAAATGAAAGGAGAAGCCTTTGCCTTTGTTTGTGCTTGTGCGTCTCATTGTATATGATTGTA